ATTACGATATACAAAATACACAAGGAATTTACTATTCTGTTTTTATATATATATATAGTATCGACCATCGCTATTAAAACATAATATATAGTAATTTCTTATTATTTTACCATTGACATCTCAAAGACACGCTGGTTGTCAATCTTTTCTTTGCTTTTCAAATCAATTGGTATGACCAATTAATCGCCTTATAACTATGACACTTCTCTAATTAACTATATTAAATGGTCTGTCGGTTGTGTTGATATTACTCAGAAATTCGCCAGAGAAGAAATTACGAACTCCACATTTCTTGCTTTCTTTTTTTGGATGTATAATTTGGTTAAAAAGTAAAAAATTTTAAAAATAAAACAAATAATTATTATTTCGAAAAAAAAAGAAAAAAAAAGCTATTTATTATAATTAAAAAACTAAATATATAGTTAATTTTCTCCATCGTTAATTAAAAATCCGACTTTAGATAAAATTTATCCAGATTTCACATTCCCACAAAAAAGTTGATTCAGTTGACTTGCTAAGGTTAAATTAGGGCGACTTTAGATTGAAAATCTAATAATTTTACTGTTAGATTAAGATTTGTTGAATATCTAACGTTTAGATAACTAACTGTTAGATTATAAAAAAATAAAACATTTGGCAAAATTTTAAAAAAAGTTAAAATGTTATTCGATTTAATAACAAATTAATTTTTTATTTTGTGTTTCTTAATTTCCAATTATTTATTTTCAAGGCAATTTCATCTTTATAATACCATTTTATTGATTAAAAAGACAATAATACTTAAATAGTTTAAATTATCTAAATAATGATTTTTGGTGTTCAAATTCGAAACTTAAAATATAAATACCATTTCAAAACTATTAAATCAAACAAATGGAACAAATTAAAAAGGATAGAAATGTTGCGAAAATTGTCGACATTTCAAAATATATTCTTTATCCAGATGTCCTTGATAACAACACCGTACAGATTGTAGTAGATAAACAAAGTAACAAATCTATTATATGGCAATTTTTCAATGATGGGAATACAAAAGATACAATGAAATGCAAGTTATCTGGTGCTATAATTCCATTTGTTGTAACCACCTTTGACCCCAGAGTGCCAATTTGGAATACAATACAAAATGATGAATTAAATAACACAATGTCCAAAATGAAAAAATAATGAAAGATACACTTGAAAAATCATTTTCTGAAATACCACAATATTCTAATGATGAATTTAATGGAACATGTAAAAGAAGAAAAGAGATTGTTGTTTTGATCGACCACATTAAATTAAAGCACTTTGAAGTTCTTCATATAATAGAGGAAAACAAAAAGAAAAGGAAAAAAATGACAGAAATAGACAAAACTACAAAAGACTTTAAGGAAAAACAAATGATAACACTAAAATGGGCCATCACTTCAAAAATACCACTTTCAATTTTTAATAAAACGGAAACACTTGAAATGTTTAGTTTTATTACAAATAAAACATTTATTCCACTTCGTCCGGATGATGTCAAAGAGTCATTGAAGGAATTGTTCAATATAGAAAAATCTAAAATTGTAAATTGTCTTAACACCTCGCTTTCAAAACATTTTACAATGGATGGATGGTACGGAGAAAGCAACAAAAAACATTATTTGGGTATTAATTGTCAAGGAACATCGAGCAATTTTGAAATATTTCATTATTTCATTGGAATTGTTGAATTGGAAAATGGTTCCAAAAGTTCACAAATAAAAGCCAAATTTATGGAATATTTAGCGTCATTTCCGATTACTTATGACCCAAAACATGATTATGTTATTACATATAATGGAAAAGACTATAAATTGGCATTTAATACACTATCTGGAATGTCACAAAAAGAAAGACAGGCAGTTAAAAAAAATCAAAGAAAAAATTGACGGAAGTGAAAAAAGAAAAAAACAGCAAATGGTGTAACTCGAACATTTACCAGTCCTAAATATAAACCAACAAAAAGAACAGAAATTGAACAAACATTTGAAGAATTGGACAAAATAGACACGTATATTGGATGTGCAGCACATACAATACAATTAACCATTAAAAATTCAACACTTCTCGTTAAAGAGTTAAAATGCCTTATCGAACACGTTGAAGCGGTTGCAAAAGTTGTAAATTGTAACTGGGAAAAATGTCAAAAGATAATAAAAAATAAATAGAGAACTCGAATACAAACAAAAAACAGCAAAGAAACAACAAAATGTAATTATAGGAAATGGTGAAAATGAAGAAGAAGGATAATCATTTGAAGAAACTGTAAATGAAGACGACTTTGACACGAAAGATGAAGAATGTATTTTTGATGGAATTTTTAATGACAATTTTGAAGACTCAACAACAGAAATGGAAAAAATAAAATTCTGTAAACAAACAAAATGTGTGCTTCGAGGTGAGACGCGTTTTGACACAGTTTTCGATTTGTTGGAAAGTGTAGCAAACAAGAAAGTGGTTATTGATAGAATGGCAGAAATGGGGATTATTGGTTGTTTAAATTCTACTGAATGGGATTTGATTTTTACAATGACTTATCTTTTAAAACCAACTAAAGACTTTACTGTAAAAGTGGGGTCAACAGAAAACCCAACTATTCCTTCTCTTATTCCAGCTTTGGCTGAAATCACACTTCGTTATACTGAATATTTGTCAAAAGAAGGAATTGTTCTTGACAAAACAAAATACACTGACATATTTCCAATATACAAAGAAAACTATTTTAAGTTCCATTTCAAAAACATTAGTTATAAATTGTTCTATAATGTTATTAAAGTTATGGTTGAGAAAGAAGGAGGAGAAAATGTTCCAATTTCAATTTTTGGAACACTAATAAAATGGGTGTTGTTGGCGCTAAGTGAAATACTGTTTCGGTTCACCAATTATTTGACATCCAAACCCCACATTATATCAATGATATTATGTTCTTGGTATAAATTGTCTTTTGAATTTAGTGAAGAAATGACCAAAAAATGGAAAGAAGTTATTCTTATTGAAATGAAAAAAATAAATGAAACAACCGTGACTGACACTGTAAAACATCAAGTTGTGTATAAAAAAGATACAAGTGCATGGGAAATTAACAACACTAGGATGAATTTAATGGGGTATGTCAATTGCTTGGAAAACGAAGAGAATGAACTCAATTATTATTTGTCAAATCAATTCGATTTAGCTGACTTTCAAAACCCAATGGAATTCTGGAAATATTTAAAATTAACAACCCCCCAAAAGTACCATACGTTGATAATTTTAGCACAGAAGCTCATGTCAATTCCCGCTTCGGAAATACAATCGGAACAGGGGGTTTCACAAGTAAAAATTTACTTAAACCAATACTCAAACTGTATTTCAGGCGAGCAATTCAACGAAGAATGTGTCGTTGGTATTAACAAATCATGCAAATTGAATCACTGTTCTTAAATTTATATTTATTTTTATATATACAGTTATGATAAAAACCAGTGCAACTTGAACAAAAATGGGGTGACTGAGTAAAATAATTCTAAAAATAAAAGAATAACATTATTTTAAAAAATGTTTGAAAAACAATTAAAAAAACGTTCAAAAATTTATTTATTATGTTATTTTCATATTATTTATTTATTATAGAAGAAAAATAAAAAACTAAAGTAGAATAACAACACAATTCATTTACAATAAGCAAACAATATCAAAATAAGTCTTTTCACAAAAAACTCTTCATTTCTTTTCTCTCTTGTTTTATTCGTTTCAGTTACATCTTCCATTTTCTCTCCTTCTTCTCCTCAACCACTTTTTCATAATTAATTGTTCCTCAAGTTTAATTTCCATGCCTTTATCATTAACATCATCTTCTTCGACTTCTTGAATCATATACTCGCAGAACAATCTTGGTTGATTTTTACATAAATTAAAGACTCCGACGTCATATCCATTGTGACACAACGCAACATTTACTGTTTTGTTCAAATTTCAGTTTTTTTAGTTTAAACTCATAATATTTTAGTAGAAATTCTTCCAAAAC